ATCGCGGGGGGAGGGACGCCTGCAAGGACCACGGCCACGTCAGGCACGGGGTTGTGGTGTCATGGGGATGTTGGCTGGTGAGTGGCTCACCTTTGGCTTGGCAGGGGATGGCCACCACCTTCTCCATCTCGGCCGTGATGTGCCTCTCTGGCTCCTTGACAAACTGTGGTGGCTCTGCAAAGGGAAGCCCAGCGATGGGCAGAGAATGATGTTAGAGCCAAGGTCCTCCAGACCAGACCCACCATCAAACCACCCGCAGTGACTCCCGCCCGTCGCTTCCCATCTCATCCCCAGGGCTGAGACCACCCCAGCTCATTGCAGGGATGGTTTGAGCTGCCCACAGCCAGGAGCTCACCCAGGACAGAGAGGTAGGTGCCGTCTGCTGCGGCGGAGCACGGCCTCGCCCTCGTAGTAGCCGCTGTCGCTCAGCGCGGGGTTGAGGATGGTGAGGCGACGGCTGTAGTCGCTGATGCCACTGGAGAGGGGCACCCCGTCCTTCTTCCAGATGATGTGCAGCTTGATCAGCGGCCTGGGGGGGACAGGAGCACGTCAAGAGACAGCCCCAACCCTCCTGGACCCCAGCAAGACCCCACCTCCCTCCATCCCACAGGACCCAGGAGCTCTGGTAGGAAGGGTCCCCCCTCCTTTCTCCATCCCATAGGACCCAAAAGCTCTGGTGGGAAGGGACCCCCCTCCTTTCTCCATCCCACGGGACCCAGGAGCTCCGGTAGGAAGGGACCTGGGGGCACCCAGCCCTGGGGCCGCATGATGCCAACAGGGAGATGCCCCATCCCCATCCCATCTGCCTTGTCACTACTCACCTGGCGTTGGCCACACACTCCATGGTCACCTCCGAGGTCCCGGCCACCACACTGGTGTTCCTGGGTGGGACAATGATGGTGGGTGCAATGGGATCAGCTGGACCACCCACATCTGGGGAGAAGGAGGCCAGAGGGACACCCATCAGCACCCCTATGGGACCCTAGACCGCAGTGGGGCTGATGGGGCACCCACAGCCCATGTGCCCACTCTGCCTGGTGTGGAGAAGACAAAGGTGACAGGGACCAAAGGGTCTGCTCTCCTGTGGGGACAAGGGGCATGTCCAGCCCATCACCTTGGCATCAGGGTGCTTTCACAGCTCACCCTAAGCCCTCTCCTCCCACGGGAGGTCATGGCACCCCGTGGCAGCAGCCCGGCCCCCGGCAGCGCTGCCTGGCAGGGAGGAGGGAGAGGGGAGGGGAGTGTATAAAATAGAATAATTGCCACAATCAAAACCCTTCGTGTAGGTGCCGTAAAAACGCGATGGGCTCGAAAGCTGCTGATGGAGCTGAATCCAGAACCGTGGGCTCCGGGTTGTTTATTGCCCACGGGGACACCGAGGTGCAGAAAAACAGATCAGTGTGGTGGGAGGGGACAGGGGGGACAGGGAGAGGACTCTGCAGAGAGGGATAAACCCCCCCGGAGCAGTGGGAAGGGATGGGGTACACCAGGAGGACTGATGCCACTTTGGAGCATCTTCCCTGGGATGGGCTGTCACCAGCTGAAAGGGGACCAAGGGACCCTCCTGCAAGGTCCAAGGAGACCCAAAAGATGGGGCCACAGGGGTGTCACAAAATCACAGAATATCAGGGATTGGAAGAGACCTTGAAAGGTCATCTAGTCCAACCCCCCTGCCAGAGCAGGATCACCTACAGTGGGTCACACAGGGACATGTCCAGGTGGGTTTTGAATGTCACCAGAGGAGACTCCACACCCTCTCTGGGCAGCCTGTCCCAGTGTCCTGTCACTCTCACAGTGAAAAAGTTTATGTTTACATGGAACCTCCTGTGTTCCAGCTCACACCCGTTGCCCCTTGTCCCACTGTTGGACATCACTAAGAGCCTGGCTCCATCCTCCTGACACCCACCCTTTACACATTTATAAACATTAATGAGGTCACCCCTCAGTCTCCTCTTCTCCAAGCTAAAGAGCCCCAGCTCCCTCAGCCTTTCCTCAGCAGGGAGATGTTCCACTCCCTCCATCCACCTCTGTGGCCCCCAAATCCACATGGGTTGAGAGAGGAACAAGGGCAGGAGCTGGGTATAGTGTCCCTCAAAGCTGCTCCCTTGGGGCTACCTCGCTCCATCCCACTCCGTGGTCCCGGGACACGACCAGATCCAGCAGTGGGGATGGAGCAGGAGGCTCTGCCCGTGACACAATCAGCACCAGCAGCACTGAAATACATTTTGTGGCAACCAAACTGTGAAGTCAGCAAAAGCCGGAGCCTTCCAAGAGATTTACTGCAAATTAAACGTGGGGGGAGCAGGGCTGGGGGGTGGTGACCCCACACTCACTGGCCACGGTCAGCGTGATGGGCTGGCTCGTCTTGTTGTCCCCGTTCTTGTCATTCACCGCCTGCACGTAGTAACGTCCCGCGTCCGGGGCCACCGTGGAGAGGATGACGAGGGTGTTCTCCAGCGTGATGGCTCTGTGGGGACAAATGGGTGGTGTGAGACGGGGACATGAACCCAATGGGGACACCAGGATCCTTGTTCCCACATCCAGCACCCACATCAGCCTTGGGGCACCCACATGGGATGGGAATGACCCCCAACCTTCCTCTTG